TTTGGTGGCTGGATGTTTAGGGTAAGTGATTAGGCCCTAATGAGATGGTTTAAAGGTGGTTTAGTACCTAAATGTGAATTTTTCCTGGTACTGTTCATGGGGCTCCGAAATTGTGTAAAATTGTCTAAGTGTGGCACTAATTAAGTTCAAGTACTAATGACTTGGAAGTGAACATTTTGGGGACTAATTAGGCTTATTTGAATCTTAATTAAGTGTATTTGGTTGTTGGGTGATTGGGGTTTGAGATTAGAGCCTAATGAGGGTGTTTAATTGTGGTTTAGTGGACAAAATGTGTCCTCCCCTGGTACTGTTCATTCAGTACCGAATTTGTGCAAAATTGTACAAGTTGAGTATTTAGTTGATTCATTGATTAATGGCAAGAATTTAGGCACTTGAAGGGGTCGATGGGGACTTGAATAAATTCTATTGAATGACCCCGAAATGGTGAGAACGACTATCGAGATTGATTTGCCCAAGGCGGGCCTTTAGCGCATTGAGTTACTTTGGAAAGAATGTGCGGAAATGAGTGTTGAACTTATTGAACTAGAGGAGTGATAAATTGATGGTGCCGAGGGTGTGTTAAATTCATTGGCTTGGTAAATAAATGTGTTCGGCATGTTGGCTTGGGTATTGGCATGAATTTCCGAGTATACAATTTGTATGTCATGTTGTGATTGATTGGAATTGAGTGCAACAATGTGCATACCTGAGATTTACTCAACTGTGGCCTTCGGGTCGGGCCTTCGGGTCGAGCCTTCGGGTCGGGATAAACTGTGGCCTTCGGGTCGGGCCTTCGGGTCGGGAGAAACTGTGGCCTTTGGGTCGGGCCTTCGGGTCGGGAGAAACTGTGGCCTTCGGGTCGGGAGAAACTGTGGTCTTCGGATCGGGCCTTCGGGTCGGGAGAAACTGTGGCCTTCGGGTCGGGAGAAACTGTGGCCTTCGGGTCGGGCCTTCGGGTCGGGATAAACTGTGGCCTTCGGGTCGGGAGAAACTGTGGCCTTCGGGTCGGGCCTTCGGGTCGGGAGAAACTGTGGCCTTCGGGTCGGTATAACTGCACGTGATTTGCGTTAATGTCAAATGCCTAACCTGCAGGGCTATGAGATAATGTATTGGGCTGTGAGCTCGGGTGAAATTATGTTGATGTGCTGGTTCATTGATTTATGTGTTTTATTTACCCTCTGGAGGTGCACTTTAGCCTAGTTTAGGATTAGGGGTTTTGTACTTGCTGAGTTTTATCTCACGGTTGTTGGAAAACCGATATTTCAGACCCCCGGCAGTAAAGATGGCGGAGCCGCTCGTGCGTTTTGGGATTTCCCACTTCATCGAGAAGACCATGTCGGTTCATCCAGTAGGAGAGGGGAATATGTACATTAGGTATTATACTTTAGTATGGGCTATATCTTTTTGACTGAAGCCCAGCTTAGTTCAGCTTAGTACCCTGGCCACTGATCCTTTTTGTTGCCCGTGGCCGCGACTCGTTTTTGTTGTGGCTCTTTGTAAATGGATATTGTATAAGCTTCTAAATGTTTATAAAAGAGTAAAGTTGTTTTTATTTAGTGATCGTTTATGTGCGGCTATCCTTGGTCCCTGTAAATTCTGTATGGGTGATATATATTTACTTATATATCGTTCTTCCGCATGTGACGTGATCTCTGTGTTGGGTTTTGGGTCGGTGGCGTAACCTGGGAGCGTCGCACTACTATTTCGACCTATAAGCGGGATGCTCATGCTTCGTGGGGTACGGGGCGTGACACTTGAAGCCTACGGCTGCAAATCATTGGTTGGACTTCCCGACTCAATTAGCCATCTGGAAAATTTGTTGACCCTTGACTTGAGACGTTGCTGCAGGTTATATAAACTCCCAGAGAACATCGGATCCCTTGTGAAATTGCAGCGCCTGTCACTAGGCGGAAAGAGTTATCCATATGGTATTGACGATGGCCGAGTTTTTTATTATCTCAATCATATCCCCAATTCAATTGGAAAGTTGGAATGGTTGACTGAATTGAACTTATCGGATATTGGCATTCGGGAATTACCTAAATCCATTGGGAATTTGAAAAACTTGAAAATTTTGAATATTTCAGGAAGTCAAGATTTGAGAAATTTACCTAGCACTATTAGCAAGTTGGGAAAACTTGAAGAATTACATGCCTCACGCTGCGGAAGTCTGGGAGGGGAAATTCCGATAGATGGGTTGTATTCACTGAAGATCCTTCAATTGTATAGGACTCGGGTTTCTGGCTTCCCCCACACACTTGATGAGCTCTCTCGTCTTGAAAGACTTGATTTAGAGGGTTGCGAGATGCTTCAATCACTGCCGCAAGGCATCAGTAAGTTGTCTTCTCTGCAATACCTTCAGTTAACTCATTGTGACAAACTTCAATTGTTGCCAGAGCTTCCTTCCTATTTGACAGTCCTGGGAGTCACCTGTCAGCATCACACAGTGCCTCAACTTTCTCACCTAATCCATCTAAAAGAGCTCACTGTTGAGGATTGCCGATTGCTGGAATCCGTGCCAGAGCTTCCCTCAGGAATAATGAAGCTTCGTGTCTGCAGGTGTGATAAGTTGAAAGAGTTGCCAACTTTGTCAAGTTTGGAATTCTTGTCGGAATTAGTTCTCGAAAAGTGCCGTGAGCTGACAGAAATCAAGGGTCTGGAAGCATTAAAGTCCTTAGCAAAACTAAATGTATCTGGATGCAGTAAGTTATCAAACCTTGACGGCCTTGAACGTCTCAAATCTTTGATACTTGAATATGGGTTGGTTCTCTGAGTCAGATGCTCCACTAGTGAATGATGATCTAGTTCAAGTTCGAGGCCTTGACAGATTGAAAAATTTGGAAGAGCTGTATATAGGGGGCTGTCAATCCCTTATAAGACCAGACCTTTTGCAATTAACACATCTGAAGCGATTAATCTTTAGCGACTGTCACAATCTAGTCGAAATTAAAGGCCTTGAGAGATTAACAAATTTGGAAGAATTGGATATCCATGGGTGCAGATCCATTGAAACATTACCAGACCTCTCGTGCTTTGATAACCTGAAAAGATTGTCGATTGGGTATTGTTGGAAGCTTCGTGATGTTCAGGGCTTGGAGAAAGTCGCATATGTGCAAACATGGTAAAGTGAGGGATTCAACAGCAAGGCCTCAGCAAATTGCCCAGTTCTGTTTAATCTCGAAGATTTAATGGAATGATGGGAGTCATTTTCGCATGAACTTGTCGAGATCACAGAGCTCCATGAAACAAGCCGTCTATTCTTCCAGCTATCGAAGGAAATTCTTGGGCTATTAGGCTGCTTGTCTCCTGAACACTGTATTACTAGTCTTCCCTTTATTTGAATTAAATTATTCTCCACATATAAACGTTATTTATTTGCCTTTATGTAAATTGTATAGCTCTACCTACAGCATAAGTTGAATTATTTCATCTTAGCAGCTAAGGTATGGAGCAGTGAATAGATACATGAGCAACACCATTGTTTTCGAGCACACGGGGAAAACATTTGTGACTGCAGAGAATTACATGCCTCAAGAAGTAGATATCTCCACGTTGGAAGCTCGTGGCAATTGGAACTTCGATAAAGATTGGAATCAACCTTTCACTAATCACCCAATGGTTCGATCTTTCAATATGTACAGTATGCCCTGACATTTATATGACTGATCTAATTTCATTGATTTGCAAATCATAATGTTCTACGACAGAAAGCGCCTGTATCGGGGGAGCTGGTCAACATGGGAATTAATGATGGGAGACCTTACTGTGTTATGGGCGTTATATCTGGTAATTTGCTTTATCTTGATTTCATGACATTGTCGCATTCTGCAATAAGCATTAAGGATAACACTATTGAGTCTTGAGATTGGTAAATTGCTTCAGCTGATGGGAAGAAACTCAATCATAAAGTTGATCTCGAGTTCGATCGGAGTGTTCTCAGCCATGAAATTGGTGTCATACATAGGTGAGCACTCTGATTTGGAAACATCAGACGGCAAGGATAGGGGTGATGCCACATTATGGAGACGCGAGTTCAGTCCGATGGTTTTATGTAGAATCAAGCTGCGCTGCCCATTTCACATATTCACCTGCTTTGAGGATGGTTATGAGGTATACGTTTCCTAGAAGCCTAATTTTTTAAGGTTAAAAATCTATTAGACTAGGCCTCAACTTGAATTATATTGCCGGACAAAGCAAGTTGTGGTGAGAGGATGCAGAGCTCCTACATCGGTGTCTCTGTGTCCCGATCAGGGTACGAACAAGTTGGATTGGTTCTCGAGAGGATTCGACTTCAGAGAACTGGTGGATGCAAATGCTAACAAACATGGAGATTGAACATGGAAACTAGGGAAGTTCAGGAGTCAAATCTTACGGGCACCGAATTCTCTATGGAGTTCCCTTTTATAAATGCCAATTGGACTAGCATGCGTAACAAGTATGGTTATGCTCAAGTCAATAATTGAATGTGGTAATGCAATGCCAATCAACTCTCTAGTGCATGTTCACTTGCCCAAAGTAACGCATAAGATCGGTTTCCTATTGCTAATGCATCACTTGTTTGATTCAGGAATGGCAAAATATGGCTGTCTGACTCTGACGTATTAGTGAAAGTTTTTCGAGTCATTCTAATTATCCATTGTACATGTCGAAATGTACCTTACTGCGGCCTTGAATTAGAGAGAGGATATCACGAGAACTTGACGAAGGTCAAGTACCATAATTTTGAAAAGCACAGCATCAGCAGTGGGTGTGTTTTTGTCCCTAAGACAGACGGTGCCGGAGAGGACAGTGGTTGGATTGTCTCTTGGGTACATAATGAAGAAACAGATGTGTCCCAGGTTAAGTTTAAGAGTTTCCATACAATAATCACGTAGCTTTGCCTACCAGTAATGACGATCCATATGGTTTTGAGATTGTGAAATTTGCAGGTTCACGTGATTGATGCAAAGAAGTTTGAAGGTGAGCCGGTGGCCAAAATCACTCTACCTCAAAGGGTACCATGAATGGATGATTGGGACACCAGATCTCATGTACAAAACATGGTAGTAGGCCTTACTTTTCTCATCAGATAATAGGTTTTTGGCCTTTAGTATGTGTTGTTTTTTCTAACTTTCTGAGTTTGGTTTTGTGCTAGCATTTCCTGCTTATCAGTGACCGCGTCCGCTCTGGAAAAGTAGAGAGTTAAAAGACTGGCTACCTCGAACCGCATCGCTCTTTAAGCTACTGTACCCTATAAAAGTCACGCAAGTGTTAGCATGGTATCGGATGTTTGAGCCATTAAGACTATATAGGCCTCTATCCACCAACTCTACTATAACGCCGTTGGCTGGATTTTGCCTACTCATCAGGTTCTAGAGAGCAGAGGTGGACGTTGTAATTGCTTTGTGAGAGTTTTGGTGTCAAGACAACTCTGGAAAGATGGAGCTTCCTCACTGGCACATTACGGCATGATTAATCAGTACAAATCTATTCAGTGGATAACAAGTTGATCTCATGATGTAGCATTGATTTGCAAGAGCTGTTGATGCCTTTATTAGTGATAGTCTTTCAGTTTGTTGAAGCAGCTATTTGAATTGATGCAATTTATGAAGGTTGCAATCCCGTTATTATTGTTCTGGACAGTTAAGGCAGCTTGAGACTCTGCAATTATATTCTTCCATCTCCTGATTTGTTGAAGGATTGACACTTGACAGCAATTTTCTTATGAACTTGAGGAAAATATCAACCATAACCACGTGATTCTTTACGCGGAAGATAGAACATCGTAACATTAGAAACAGAGGGCCTATATGCGTTGTTTCAAGATTTGGCTTAAACTAAGTCCATATTCAACGATTTGAAATTCTTTTGTTTTAGAGAGAATGTATTTTGATAGCTAGTATAGTTGCTGACTGGATGCCAAAAAGCTGTATGTCATCGATTCAAATGTCTTTCCTTGTCGCCTTTATGATAGAATCAAACTCGTTCGCCCTAATCATGAGATTGTTAGCATTTGTTAATTAAGTACAAAGTATAGACTAGAATGTTCAATTCGCATTATTTGGCGGTCTAAATTTGTATGCGGATCTTGGATTTTGAATTCTAATGCCACTTTAAGTTACTTGTTTCTGCAATTAAAATTGAACTCCAGAGTCAGTGTCCATTACTCTCCAATTCTATAGGAAAGGAAAACAGAGGCACTTTACAGTTTTCTTTTTTCTTTTTCCCATTTGTTTCAACAGAACAACCGAAATAGACAAACAGCAGGAAGAAAAAAAAATCGAAGAAGAAAGGGTTGATCACGAAGTGAGTGAAGGGATCCGAGTTGATATATCCGTCGAACGTGGACAGAGATTCAGGGCTTGTGGAGGTATCTCCCGGCAAGCAAAGCAGCTTCCATGACGACAGAGAGGACGTCGACGACATCCTCGACTTGGCATTTGCTTCCTTTAAACGTTCGGCCTTGCAAGTTCTTGAAGTTGGCCAAGCAGTTCAGTAAGTTTTGGCTGCACTCCTGGCTCAAATAGTCATCTGCACAACAACCCGCCCCGTCTCAGTGTCACGACTTCGATATGTCCATGTGGGCGATACAACCCAATCAATAAAAACAATCAAATTAAACGATCACATGATATGATTTCTTCATCATTGTCGTCGCTTAGTACACTTGACAAGCCAAAATATCTGTGTAAGTTATTGTCCCGGACCGTTCCATGAGAAAGAGACAATCTAGATATGCACATTCTGTTATAAAAGCAAATGTTGATATCATTGCCAACATCAGTGCATTTGCTCCCCCACAGTCTCCTTCCCCAAACCTCAGAACAGTTATTAAAGTTGGCTTATGAATGAAGTGATGTTTAGTGAACTTGTGGAACAACAGAGGCTTTGCAGGCACATTAATTTTACTCACAGACGTTTTCACCGCACTTGACTTGGGTGTGTCTTCGTTCTTTTGACCCATTAGTCCGTCGCACCGTTTTCTCTATATCCACTCCGTAATATACTTTTTCAGGAACGTGAATCCATGCATGTATAGACGTGTAAAGCCATTGTTCACAGGTGAAAAATGCTTCCACATTCATCCGCACAAAATGTCCATGCAAATGCTCCGGCCAGTGACTAATCATATCTATCGATTCGACAAAGAACAAGCTGAAAAAACCGATGTGCAAAACTCACTGTTTTTGGCTTGAACGCAGGCGTCGTGTTTCATGCAGCAGGCGTCGAGGCCGTCGCAGGGTTTCTCCCCCGGACATCCGCTGTACAGGAGCCCACAATACTTGCCATATCTCAGAAATGGAGGCACTGTGTCATTTTCAGTGATAATTCTTTTATTGCTCAATACTAATTAATCAACCACACACAAAAAAAGCTCCAAAATTAATCGACAATCCTTCATCGCATTATGCACAAAAAAAACTGATTTTCTTTTTCTAGAGAAGAGCAAGCAACGCTAGATACCTGAGCAGAACTCGGATTCGCATTTCCTGCTGCATTCTTTGCCCTGCCAAATCATCCATTCACGTAAGAACCAATGTGGGGTTTCCTCCTCTTTTCTTCGTTTTTCGATAGCCTCAAATCAGGGTGGTAAGAAAGATTCGAACTTACGACGGAAACTCCGGTGTCTGTGGCCTGGACACCGACATTGAGGGCGCGGACGGCGGGGATGCCAGAAAAACAGAGGACGAACAGTGGAATAAGAGTTATGACAGGAGCTAACTTCGATGGCTGCGGGCTAACCATCGTCGTGGCCGGCCTGAGAGAAGCAAGCACTTAGACTGCGGAGCTTCGTTTTTAGCTTCAGGGCACTGATTCACAGAGAATAGAGAGAGAGAAAGAGAGAGAGAGAGAGTTCGGTGAAGAAAGAGAGAGCTGTGCGTCTTTTGTCGTGTTACGGCTCGTGACGTTCTTTTGGAGCCTTGTTCACACTTGCAGAGCCAGGTTGGCTGCGTAAGATATAGAAACACGATCACAGAGTCTTGTTGTTGTCGGTGCTTGCTCCAACCGGGAACCTGTTGTGGCCGGTCTTCGGCTCTTCGCTTCTGAGTAAATTGGATTTTAAGCTTGAAACTATCAAATTGTCCTAAAAGTTTAACCGTGGAGGCAAACAAAAGTCTTCAGAACCTCCTACTCTAATATCATGTAAGATTTAATGACGCTATTGCTAACGGTTCTAAAAGCTGAAGTTGTTAAATGAAGGCACGATTTAGTACTTAATAATTTTATGTGGTGGCCACAGATCTCAGAGATGGGGGGACACAGATATGCTACGCCACCCTTGCCACCATCGGCGAGGGCGACCGATGCTTCCTTCCCTCTTGCTCTCTATCTCTCTTTTGATGACCTCAGCTGCATGACTTAGCTAAGGCCCAAAGGGCACTTCTTTTTTTTTGCTTTCTGGTAAATTTTTAAAAAACTATTCCAATTTCATACGACTATAAAAAAAAACTGTATGTAAAAAAAAACTACATATGAATTTATGTATCAACATTTCCATTCTGTGAAAGATTCACAAATTTTGAATTAAAAAAAAACTTAAAGTACATAAGTTGTAAAACTTAATTAAGCATAAAATTAAAAGTGAAAATCATTTCGGACGCTTCCTAAATTTCAGTATTCAAATTAATAGCTCGTAGTTAAAAGTGAAAACCTCAGCTGGCCAAACCAAAGAGGTGAAAAAGGAAAAGAAAGGAAAAACTTTTTAGAGAGCAAGAAGCTAGCAAGTTTCCGGTAACACATGTGATTTCAAAGGCCACGTGTTTCTTTATCATGGAAAGCGCACACAAGCGAGTGTTAAAATTGATTTTGACTAGCATTTCTCGTGTGGATATTTCTCATGTAGATCTAGATATTAATGGAATAATGTCGGGTTGGTGGCGGGTCTCATCTCGTGAACATGGCTTTTGAACCGACGCAATACACAAAAAGCAGAGGAAACAGAGGACCATCCGAGGTGCTTCGTAGATTCTTTAGCAACATCCGTTTTTAATACCCTCTGAATTTCCTGTTGGTGACCGCCGTGATTATAGAAATTGTATAGATCATCCTTCAGACTTTTTGACTTTCAGTTTATGGACAAGATCTGAGGTAAGATCAGCAGATGGATAATAAAGAAAGATCAGTTGATTGACCAAGATGAAGGTATTTTGAGCTGTTTTTGTGGAGTGTTTGGAAATTTTGGCTCTTCTAGGGAAGAAAAAGAGAGTAAAAAGCTGGCGAGGTGGACCTGTCTAGGTGTGCCGAAACTGGGCCTGGACATCGCCTAACCGGGGCATGATCAAGTGATAATCGCTTTGGTGCAATACTGAGTTGATCTCACGATACAGATGCTCTTTTGTAGTAGTCTCTTCTATTGGATCGCAGATCGTTCTCGTACCAAATAACTACCCGCTAATTTGCTCCTTTGAGTTCTTTAATGATGATGATTTACGTTTGAGGATGCATCGCGGAAAACTGAAATGACATTTTTCACACCATTCTTTTCGCAAATGGCTCAGTCTTGCTGATTAGTGTTTCTGTTCTTGAAGCAGCTATTTAGCATTAATTCAGCTTATGGAAGTTGTGAGTGTTGTTCACCTTACTTTGACATGTCAGTCAGCTTGAGACTGTGGATGTATATGCATCTGATTCCCAATTTGTCAAGGCATTGCAGCAATTTATTTAAGGTAGATCGGCCATGATTGCAATTTTTCCTCCTTCTGAAGATTGAGATCTTCCAAGCCTAGGCGCGTTTCAAGCAATTGCATAACATCAGCTGATCGTTGTCCGATAATCTTTATTCTGATCCTACAACTTCTGCAGCTACTGCTAAGCCCGAAACAACGCAACTTATTTTGTTGTTATTGAAAGTAGATGTTAGCAGCCTTTCGATTTCATAGTTAAAATCCATATATTGTGGAATGGATCAAATGACTTGCCGCAGCAATTAGAACTTGATTTTCCGCTTCAATTTAGTTCTGTGTGTTTACCTGATCGTGAAATCGTTACTATTTATTTATCGAGTAAAGAAGGTCATGCTTAAAGAGAGAGAAGCAACGGATTTATCTGTATCTATCCTGGACCCGGAGCATCTCAGATGTACACAGGTACAAAATTATGTCAATGAACGAAAAAATTGCAATGCCAATTTTGGTGAGAGCCAGTCTGACAAGTTAACTAATACGAATCCCAGGAATACCTGCAAGTAAGAAGCCACGAACAAATTAGCCAGAGGAAAACAATGCTCGAAGCTTGTAGAGCCTGTGATTTTCTGTCATGTACCTGGACCGAGCCAAGAATGTAAATCAGCGAAAACCGCCGACCATGTATTAGGATGTCTTCCAACATGGCGAAGGGTATCGTGAGGGAGGCACCTAGCGATGCCACAAGAGGAGTGGTCCAAACAACACCGAGCGCCCTATTCATAATTTACAAGTCCCACTAATCAGATTCAAGAAGGTAGAAATCATCATTCGTCAAGGTTTAGCCTCTGAACTAACCAGAAATAATCAGAGAGGAAACTTCCGACGAAGCAGTTGGCAAGAACAACTCCCCCCATGGCCGCAGACTGAGGAAAGGCAAATTTGGGCTCTATGTCTAGAGCAATGAGAGGCCAAACTGAAAAAATCCAAGCATAAAAATTAGTTAAGACACCATTGTTGAAGAACAGAAAGTACTCGGTTTCATTGCCACCGATTCTGATTTTGAAAATCATTATATGCATCAGCACATCATCATGCGAAAAAACTTGCGTTCATTAGGAAGCTCAAATTAGGGGATTGCTCTTACCAAGCCACCAAAGCGCGAGAAGCGAGAATAGTCCAATACAACCGAATAACTTTTGCATGTCCACCCTTTCTCCTTCTTCTCCAGCGTACTTTTTGAGAAGCACTGAAATTTTTCATATAGTTAACGATAGCTGCTACATCTCTGTTGAAAATTTCAACTGAAAGAGAATTTATTTTGAAGAAAAAGCAAATGCTGTACCAGCAAATAATCCATCAGTTGCAGCCGAGAGAATTGCGAAAAGATTTCCTAGAAGAGAGTAGGTTCTGTTGTTGAAGGAACAGATTGAACACAAAAGAAGACTTCATTAGTTGCTGGTGAGTAATTTCAATCAATACACCTAATAAAGTATGAATTAAGAGAAATGAAAGCGGAACCCATAGAAGAATTAAATATGCAGATGATAATAGGCAAGGATTACACATTTGTTTCATCATAACATCAACTTGATTTGAGTTCCAGAAGAACTCTCACAAGAATGCTCGATCTCTAATAGGAAACGAGTAGAATGAAACAAAATTATGAAGTCAAATGAATTTGGAAAACAAAGACTACATACACAGTTGTGTTGGATTGTGATTGATTGGTACTTGAAGTCTTCCCTAGTGTAGTCATGGCGACTCCGGCTATACTGATAAAGACCGAGATTGCTTTTACTACACTTATGGAGTCCTGTCCTAGAAATGCACCAATCAGAAGGGTGAAAAGTCCTGATGTCGAGAACAATATCGTAGTGCTGGCAACGCTTGTTCGTGCGAGTGCAGCATTCATGAAATACTGCAAACAATAATAACACCCTTCAATACTGTGCTATATCTAAAGAAAGTGCAATTTTATCTCGGTATTCAACATCATTGCTCATTAAGACTGTCATGGTTTTTAGATGATGCAGATCATAAAAAGATCATAGTAAGACCAGACGTTGCAATCAATTGATTCCAGTAGAGGGTGATAGATGAGTGCCAATATTATGTGAAATATGCTGAGAAAAGACATGATTTTGTATTGGTAGATTAGTACTTCTCTTGTAGGCCCCACAATGATACTTAAACCAACTTGAGAAGCTGTGCATATTACATGCTTTGTATCAGAAAATAAATGATCAGACACATGAAAGTGAAGTTGCAGTAAAGGATTTTAACCATAAAAACAAAATGTTCTCTCACCTCAGACACAAACCAAATAGGCGCAAGGATGCAGGCGACTTTGAGAATTTGCTTGCTGTACAACTTCTCCTCTTGTTCCACAATGTCATCATCTTTTGCTTCCAAAACAAAGGCCTTTCCTTCTTCAAGTAAATGAAGTTCTTTGCCTGTTGAATCCACCACAGTCAGCTTTTCTTGATTTTCCATTTCAAGATTACCCTGCTTCCCATTATTTTTGCCAGGAGAATCTGGACCTGCACAGATTGCATCGACTGTCTCCACACTATCACCACTTTCACTAGTGTGGGATTTTAGGGACTTCAGTAACCAGTCTTTGAAGAATGCTATGGGAAGATAGAACACCAAGAGCGAAGTCCCGAGATAGGTCACTGCGAATGGGTGCTCATAGTCCTCGAAAACACCCTGTTACACAAGTTGATATGTTAAGCTGGTAAAAGTCATTGCGACAGAGGAACTGATGTTCTACGAATTCATAAATTTTTCTCAGCAGGGAAAGAAAATTAAATTGCTACCTAATAGGATCCGCAATCGAAACAAGATAGAATAGGAACACACGGTTCACCGATTAAACAATGTAAATAACTAGGATCACCAAATGAAAACTCTGAAAACAACATCAAGGTGTCTCACTTATTTGGGCTCTGATTAATAACTCATTTGTTAAATGGATAGCACATGATGAAACCTGTACGAGGATAACGAACCACGCATGCTGAGTTGGCTCAATTTGGATGTATATTCTCATATTAAGGGATGCTTAGCAATGTGGAAAGATAAGGACACGGAAAATTATCTGATCAACTTTCCTCGCACCCAGAACTTCTAAACCATTAGGTAAGCTCCTGGATTTATACATTTACAAGATCAACATGCATTTTGATTCTTGACCAAATTAGCATATCTGTCCACTTTTTCTTAAAGGTTGAGCATGTTTTGCTGATTTTTATATTCGTAGTGGTGCGCCTGTGTAATCCCACTCAACCCACAGATCTACATCCCTTGATTGGAGGATTACGCGACACAAAAACATCCTCAAAAGGTTCAGCTGCACCCAGAAAAAGAAAGCTCGCCATAACTCAAGAAAGATTGAAGCCTTATCTACTTTTCTTTTTCTTCTTCTTCTCTTTACCCAAAGGAATGCTAGAATGAATTTTGCACAAACAGAGAGAGAAAGACTAACCTGAGTGACTTCTGCAGAAGTGACCCACATGATCACAACAGTGATGATGAGAATCAACCCACCTTTGTATCTCCAACTCATTTTTGACAATATTTGACAGGTATGAGTTTACTAGCAAAGAAGAACAAAGAAGACAGAACTTGCAAAAAGAATAGAAAACGATTAAGAGCAGAGAGAGTGAAGTGCCGGTGGGTGCTGGGATGGTAACGGTGGAGGGGAAAGATGTTGCTGAGGTTGCATGCGATGGGTACTTATAGAAGAAAAAATTGGAACCTATGCATGAACTGCCAAATTGAAATAAGTAAACTATTATCATTATTGAGACTATTGATCACCTTGCGGATGAATTAGATAGTTTCAGTTGTCTACTTCCGCCGACTGAGTCAACCTCGTCTGCTCCTTCCTCCGAGTTGCCACAGAGTCTACTACACTCGGGCCCACACCGCGTTTCCCAACTCTACCTGTCTCATGCCTAGCTGTGACACTAAACAGTTTCGCCCCATTGGTAAAACGACCGAGCTTTTGCAGCTTGATTTTACGGCTAACCATCCGAGGTTCCTACTCATTCCCTTCTTCGCGTACCCTCTTGAGGTCGTGTTATGATTAAGCGCTTATGGAGATCGAATATTTCGGTTTTTCGATTAGTGAAAACAATTATCGAAGCTCAGAGCATGTGTGGTTATTTAATCCTTAAAAGATATTAGTCATCCATTGAAGTAAAGTACTTCTTATCTAGCTTGACATCACCATTTTTAATAAATAAAAAAGATGACAAGTTGCGAAACGAGTGTGTTTTACTTAATCGAGTAATTAGTTGTTGTAATTCTCTGTTTATTCTTTACATTTGTCGAAAAATCCCTGTTCTTCTGCTTAGTGATTGCGATTTTACCCAATGTCATTATATTAAAAGCTCATAAAAAAAGTTACCTTAAAGTTAAAGCATTGTTACCATGGGTTGGTGGATACAGAACTGCCAAAGCTTACAAATGGAATGACATCCTTCCTGACGATCAGTCCATGGTTTGCATCAAATCTAATAACTGCCAAGGCTTTTTTTTTTTTTAATTTATCTCTTTTGGTTCACCAGAGGTGTAAACGAATGGACAAATTTCAGTTCATTTTGCCTTTGACTTCTTGGAGTTCTTCCAGAAACGCTCCCCCCTAAATGAAAATTCACTTTCTTATTTTTTTTCTGGCGAGATCTAGGTCCATATAATTTGGCTGAACAAGTTTGTGTATCAGATCCTTTTTAATGACAAAGTTTCAAAAAAGCACACATCCATATGTAACGATCAAACTCGTTTCACGAAAGTTAAATTTTAAATTGAGTACTTGATATAATCACACAAGACGATGACCAATTAAGGTATGTGTTAACTAATATATCACCTAATAGGGTCCCTCTCACTCGATGTGAGATTTTGGAATAGTAGAAACCCTCCATAATTAAAAACTAATGTCCTCATAAGTCTTCACCCCTATCCTTCAACGATACATTTCTTCTCTTCTCTCTCCACCTCATCCGAACCGTTTTTCCATGGCGATCCCTCGTCTCCTCAACCTCGTTGGATCATATATGAGCTTAGTCCATCCACGAACCACACAACCGAAGCTAAAAAGGGGTTCTATTTTGAGGAAAATTACCAAAAAAGTCTTAAACATATTACAATTGTGCAAATTCAGTAATAAACTTTTTTTTTTGTCAATTGAGTACTAAACATTTAGCAATTGTGCCAATTCAGTCCATCCGGTCAATTTTGGCTAGCCAGCAATGATGTGAACACCAGCCGTCCACTGACGCTGAAGTGAATAATTTTTATTAATATTTTTTGAATTTTTATTTTTATTTTCTTTTTTCCTTTTTTTTCTTTCTTTTTTTCTTCTTTCCTTCCATCTTCCTCCAGCCAATTGCTAGACCTCGGCAACTGACCAGAGGAGAGGCCGACCAGAGGCGAGGTCAACCTCACCGGCCAATGGCAAGGCCAACCTCGCCCAACCATTCCAGATCTAGTGAGGCTTGGCCTCACCCTGGCTAGGCGAGGCCAACCTCGTTGTCGCTAGGCAAGGTCGAACCTTGCCAGATCTGGGCTCCTCCAGAGATAGTGAGGCAACCTCGACGGCCTCGCCTCTGGCCAGTCGCCGGTCGTCAACCAACTAGAGGTAGAAGGAATTGAAGAAGAACAAAAAAAGAAAGAGAAAGAAAATAAATAAATAAAAAATTCAGAAAAATATTAAAATATTATTTAAAAATTCTCACATCAGCGCCGGTGACGCCTCGTGCCGTGCGGAACGTTTGGCGTCCACATTATCGCCGGCCAGTCAAAATTGGGCGGATGAACTAAATTGGCATAATTGTATAAGGTTTAAAACTCAATTGGTCAAAAAAAGATTTAGGATTGAATTGGGACAATTATAATAGGTTTAGGATTTTTTTGGTAATTTTTCCTCCTATTTTGATACCATTTATAATGATCCAGACTCGTTTTTCACATGGTCCATTTCTCCGAAAGACTTGTTAACATAGAGTCCCACCGGCAAATCGACATCCTTTTCTTACTCCTACTAGCAAATATCATTTAATTTCAGGACGGCTGCAGACGAGTTATTGTATTTTTTTTTTTTTCTGTCTTTCATGGGAGGTTAGAAAAGGGGAGAGAAAGAACCAAAAGAACAAGAAGTGGAGGAAGCCACGCCCGCCGAGGGGACCAACATGTGACCCCAACAAGAATCTGGAAATTGTAGGACGGAGGATTTTCCTTGTTCCTACGGGAGTCTCAAAAGAACTTTTTGGCTGTTTCAACTCGTACAGCACCCCCCGAGTCAAAAACAGTTGTGAACTCATTCAGTAGCCCGAGTTTCGGCTCCCCCCTTATGTCATTGCATCCGTCAGGAGTCAACTGTGAGTCGTACATGCATCTTCTTTCACACTGCATCTTCAAAAGGCAATTAGCATGATATAATAATAATAATCGAGCACTAACCTGTTTTTATCCGATCGTCTTTTGTTTTTCGTTGTGGAGGGTCTTTTTCCATCATTTTCTCCCCCTTCACATTGACCTAATCTTGAAAGCCGTGTTGCCCATCATCATAATTCACCCAATCAGTTTCTTTCTCGGTCATCGAGGTGCCTATCTATGTAATTTCTGTCAATGTGCCTAATGGGAAGCAATCTGCTATCTGATTTTTGTCACAAATTCCGGCGAAAAGATGAGTGATAATTATTAAACCAAACGGAAATAACACAAAAGACAAAAAGAAATTGACAACAGTAAGGCTTGAAGAGACACATTTACTTCTTTTATTTTTGGCCAGATAGCGATATGTATAATTGATCGGTGTGCTTGACATTATAGATCAGTGTGATCATGCCAACCCCACATGCTAAGCCATACAAAAAGAAAAAGAATTCATTAAGCAGACCTAGAGAATTAGATGCCCGCATATTTCTCTGCGTCTTGGCAAAAGCCCAAGTATTGGAAAACTAATTCTAGGAGTTTGCTCAATAATCAAGTGTTTGAATAGGAGTCCTAAACCTAGAGAACGCGGCTATACTTTGACCTATGTACTTAAACAATTTCCTATATGTCTTCTTTCTGAAGTTGTCCAAGTTTTGTCGGAGCATGTGTCTGTGGAGGTAGATTCGATTACTAGTAATACCTCAGATTGGATCGAGTACTGGCCAACTCACCTTGGGTACCTCAGCATCAGCATCAGCATCAGCAGAACAAAGTATAAGAGAGAAGAAGGAGATAACTTTGTTAGGTCCATTGAATCCAATTATTTTTTAGTAGTTGCTATTAAAACACAAACCCTAAAGCCAAACACTAGCAAGTTTAATCAAATCGTAGCATTCTTTTGTTGACCACTATATAATAGGGAAGATCGAACAATTTCGAAATACATTGTACATTGCCATATCATATGCGTGTGTCCGCTCGATTTATGAAACGAAACGAAATGAATGCGTATATTATTACATTGCTCATGGTAAAATCACTACAACCAAAAAATCCTAATGCAACAAATTTTTCGGTGACAAGATTAACTTCCGTCGCCTTAGGTTACCAAGAGCAACACAATACAGTATTTGTGGCCTTATCGTCCAACCAAAGGTGACAATTCATTAAGTTTTTTTTTTTGGTAAAGTAAGATGTATTTATACTTTTAACGCACCAAGTACAAAGAAAGGACGTCGTACTCAAAAACCTCGTACCCTAGGGAACAAGGATGGTGTTCTCACGGGTACAAGGTGTACGATTGAGAAAAGAAAAAAACCGCAAGGGCGGAACAAGGAGGCCGAACACTCCGGCTAAAGCAAGCTATACAACTGCTAAGCAAATACTATGAATCAAAAATGGAGGCAGAGATGCCCCAGTTTGCTTGAACTCTCCGGTTGCGGGGACTATCTTCGACGGGTTTAAAGGATAAACCTCTATCTCTCGTCACCTTAATAAGATGGTTGCGGATGGCCGGTATATTGAGTGGCTTGCTCCTAAAAAGGATATCATTTCTTACCGTCCAAATAATTAAGTTTGTTGCGGTGACAAATCATTAAGTTCGTCACCTTAGGATCAATCAAAGGTGACAATCAAAATTTTGTTGCCTTAAGTCAAACTAAAATGACAAACTTTGTACCTTTGTTGCCATTGATTCAATCAAAAGTGGGATAATTTTGAACCAACGGTGACATATATGAAATTTTGTCATCTTAGGTTAGACCTAAACAACAAAATCATGGTTTTGTTGCCTTATGTTAGGTTAAGCGACAAAATTCGAACTTGGTCGCCATTTAGGAGGGCAAATTTTGAACCTACGGTGATAAAAGTAAAATTTCATCGCCTTAAGGTAGAACTAAAGTGACAAAATCATTTTGTTCGTCGTCTTCGACTATGACCTAAGGCCACAAACTGAGTGTCTTTCTCCTTTGGTCGATCTAAGGCGACAAACTTTAGCATTTATCGCTTTTGGTTTACCCTGAGAAGTTTTCACCACCTTTGAGCATACCTAAAATGACAAAAGTTAGTTTCATCGCCGTTAACAGTAATTTAAGATGACAAACTATTCAATTTGTCGCCTTTGGTGTACCCTAAGGTACTTTTGTCACCGTTAGAATACTCTAAGGGGTTAATAACACAAAAAATCCCAAATTATATATTTATGACAAATTCACCTTAATTAATTTTTTGACCACAAAAAACCCAAAACTGGTACACATGTGATAAATTTACCCTCCGTTAGTTTCTGTTAAATTTTACCTTCAAATTGTTGAGTTGGATGACACGCGACAGTTGACGAGTGTACCAGTTTGGGGTTTTACCCTCCGTTTGTTACAGGCATACCAATTTGTGATTTTTCGTGTTATTAATCTAATTTAACGAAATTAACGAAGGGTAAATTTGCCACAAATGTACCAGTTTGGGGTTTAGAGGTCAAAAATTTAGTTTGAGATAAATTTATCACAGGTAAATCAGTTTGGGGTTTTTTATGGTCAATATTAGTTTATGGTAAATTTGTCACAGGTGTACCAGTTTGAGATTTTTCGTGCTATCAAACCTACTCTAAGGCAATAAGGTTGAGTTTTTCTTTGTCGCGTTTGGTCGAAATGTCAAAGATTTTTTTTTTTTGAACAGGGCACAAAATAGTATCAAATTTTTCATATGTAGGAGATATAAGTAGTAATTAATCGTGCTTATTATCACAGACAATTATTTTATACTAATACATAGGTTGCAAAAGAAATTGAATATTCATTTCTACTTTGTCAACTAATATGATACATGTTGTATCATTAGTAAAATGTAAATTTTATGTAGTATGATTGGATTTATTACAAGTGTTATTAAATATAGTTTAACTAATTATATTTATACATAAGTATAGCTGGAATATCTATTAATTCGTGTCATAAAAACTACTGGTAAATTTTCAACAACGAGAAGTCAAACAAATTAGTTTTCAAGTTATTTGGAAACCAAGGCAATCAATTGCATAAACTTTTTATCTATTGATTTGATAAAATTCTTTTCACTAGACTTGCAAGTTGATTATGAGCTTC